CTGAGTCACACCATCCTTCCAGCTGCAAAGCACTATCAGATCGCAGCAAGATACCCTGACCTGGACTCTTCTTCAGATACCGCACCACTCGCAAAGCAGCATCCCAGTGCTCTACTCTCGGGTTCTGCATAGACTGAGATAAAATATGCACAGAATAGGCCAAGTCTGGCCTGGTGACAGCTAAATAGATCAAACGTCCAATAAGACGTCTATACCTTTCTACATCAACAAATAAATCCCCATCTGCCAGAGGTAGCCTGTGGTTTTGCTCCATGGGAAAATCTGCGGGTTTTGCATCTAGCAACCCTGTCTCTGTAATAATGTCTAAGGCATACTTTCTCTGACTCATAAAAATTCCCTCCTTATTTCGAGCTATCTCCAGCCCCAAAAAATATTTCAAAACACCCAAGTCTTTCATCTTGAAGCAGTTCCCTAAATATGTCTTAAATGACAACAAGGCAGTTTTATCGTTCCCTGCAACAATTAAATCATCGACATAGACTAGCACATTAAGTTGCATTTTCCCTCTCGTCAGAGTAAAAAAGGAATAATCATAATATGACTGTTTAAAGCCATATTTTTTCAAAGCCGTTGTCAATTTAGCAAACCAACAACGCGGAGCTTGCTTCAATCTATACAATGACTTCTTCATCCTGCACACTTTTTCAGAATTATCTTTGTTAAAGCCAGGGGGAATTTTCATGTATACCTCTTCTTCTAAGTCACCATGTAAGAAAGCATTGTGAACGTCCATTTGATGAACTTCCCAGTTCTTCACTGCTGCAACTGCAAGAAAAGTTCGAACTGTCACCATCTTTGCCACCAGAGCAAATGTCTCATTGTAGTCTAGGCCTTCGACCTGATGATTGCCGAATATGACTAGTCTCGCCTTCAATCTTTGAAGATTCCCGTGCTCATCATACTTCTCTTTATAAACCCATTTACTCCCAAGTGCTTTCTTTCCGGGTGGTAGGTCATCTAACACCCACGTTCCTTGATCCTCAAGTGCTTGTATTTCACCAGCCATTGCTTTCCTCCAACCTTCATGCCGCATAGCCTCCTTAAAATTTTTCGGCTCATTACCACCTGTAATTGCTGCAATGTATTTTCTAAGAAACAGAAAACCGGTGAGAATCAACAAAATGTGTTATAGGATAGACAATACCTGAGGAAGATGACGCGGATGAACATTGAGATGCGAATGGACTATTATTTTGGATGGTATGAGTCATAAAATCACGATACTTAACCGAAGGGAATTTTGTACGCATCCCTTTACCCATGGCACTCGGGGTTTCTCCCTGCTCACGATCCTCAACGGAACTGTCTAGCTATGAATGCTCGGTCTGCTGGTGGTCGATGTGCGGTGCTGCTGCCTCAAGGTGGGCTGGAGGGGGCTGCGTGTGTGCAGGTTGCTCTGCCTCATGCTCTGCCACACGCGTTGGAGCTTCAGCAGGGTTGTTGGCAGTCTCTGTCGCGACCTAGTTGTGGCATGTGGGAGAATGTCGCGGCCTGGTCGCGGTGTATTCTGCCACAGGTTGTTCTCCAACCTCCTCACCAAAATTCACTTGCCCCACAACACCCTCATCCTCACTAAAATTCAGCTCATCATCATTTGCAAACATTTCATCAAGTTGCACACCAGGTTGACTTGCAACTTCAGTAGTAGTAGGAGCAATAAAAGGAAATTCAGTTTCGAAGAATTGCACATCACGAGAAAAGAAACATTCTTTGGTCTCCAAATCAAACAATTTCCACCCCTTTTTGCCAAATAGATACCCCAAGAACACGCACTTGCGACTTCTACTAGCAAACTTATCCCCTTTGCTCCGTTGATTATGAGCATAACACAAGCACCCAAAAACCTTAATATAATCATATAAAGGTTACTTATCAATAAAATCTCATACGGAGTCTTAAAATCAAGTAATCTAGATGGAGTATGGTTTATCAAATGACAAGCCGCTTGCACACACTCCCCCCAAAACCGAATAGGTAAATTTGCTTGAAATCTCAAAGCACGAGCCACATTAAGTATATGTTGATGCTTACGCTCAACCTGACCATTTTGTTGAGGCGTTCCCACACAAGAAGTTTCAAATATGATCCCATTAGCAATAAAATAGTCACGCAAAGAGTAAAATTCTGTTATGTTATCACTTCATACAATTTTAATATCATACTCAAATTGTTGTTTAACCAAAGCAACGAAGTTAAGAAACATCAATTCAACCTCAGTTTTATTACTCAATAAATACGTCCACACTCCTCTTGAAAAATCATCCACTATAGTTAAAAAATAACGAGAACCACAAGTCGATGGAATCTTGTATGGCCCCCATAAATCAACATGAACAAGTTAAAAAAAAAACGACTAGCTTTATTTTTGCTAACAGGAAAGCTACTTCTATGTTGTTTAGCCCTAGGGCATACATCACATGATTTATTTTTAAGACTCCTACTAGTACTACTCATAAAAGGAAGATGCTGCAGAACCTTTCCCGAAGGATGCCCCAAGCGTTGATGCCATAACTCTGACGAATGACCGCTCTCAAGCTTCAAAGCCTTCACTCTTGGAACACCTCGGAAATAATATAGTCCATCCACTCGTTCACCCGCTCCAATCACCTTCCTCGTCGTTAGGTTCTGTATAGCACAAAGTTTGTTAGTAAATTGCAGAGTGCAATTAGATTCATCACATAGTTGAGTCGCAGATATTAAATTGCAATTTAATTGAGGTACATAAAGAACATTCTCAATTCTAAAACCCCTTGCAAAACAACAGTGCCGAGTTTAGAAGCATTAGCACTATTCCCGTCTGGTAGTCCCACCGGACAATGTTGAACATTAGAAACGTTCGTCAAGAGGGATAAGTCACATGGTTGGATGCACCGGTATCAACGATCCAATCTATTTTATCCTTACCATGAAGTTTTGGTTTCATAGTAGCCAAATGTTCGATGATCTGCTGAATTTATGCCGAAGTAACCCCCGAAAGAGCTGCTCCATGTTGTCGAGGCACTTGATGAAGGCTGGGAAGTGATCTGCCCCCCTGTCTTATTTGCACGCACAGGGGTAGAGCATGTTGCACTCCCTTGTCCCCCATTGCGACCTCCTGCTGTCCCCTTTCTAGCACCAAGATCTCCACGACCCCGGCCTCTTCCTCCACGTCCTCTCTCACCCCACCAAGAAGGATAGTCAATTAATTGATAGCAATCTGATTCTTCATGACCAGCACGATTACAGTGCGAGCAAAGCAGTTTGTCAGAGGTATCACGAGACAATTTGGATGATGAGTCATGTTGTACCTTGAATGCCATAGCGTTCTCACGTGCCATGGTCGAAGCTATCTCACCTCCCCGCAAACGCTCTGCCTGAATAAGCTGTTGATAAGCTTTATCAACGGATGGAATAGGGTCTTGAGCCAACAATTGGCCCCTAAGAGAACCATAAGCATCGTCCAACCCAATCAAGAAGTGATGGACGAAGTCTTCTTGCCGCAATTTTTCCACTTGCGCCACAATATTGCACTTACACGCTCCACATGAACAAGAGGGAACCGTAAGGTAAGTGTTCAATTCATCATATATTTTTGCAATTCTGCCAAAATATTCAGCAATCGAATCAGTTTTGCCTTATTTACACTCTCCCAAGGACAATTTCAACTGGCATATTCGGGTACCACTCACCACACAAAAGCGATTTTTCAGATTATTCCACAATAATTGAGCATCATCGTACTCACCGATTGTAGCCCTCACCGAGGGATCCAGAGTAGCGATTTTTCAGATTATTCCACAATAATTGAGCATCATCGTACTCACCGATTGTAGCCCTCACCGAGGGATCCAGAGTATTCGAAATCCAGGCAACCAACATTGAATGAATGGCTGCCCAATCTTCGAGCTTGTCTTCATCTGTTGGTTTATTGACCGAACCATCAATAAAGCCATACTTCCGCTTGGCCTTCAACGAGGTACGTATAGCCCTCGCCCACTCATCATAATTCTCACCCCGAAGTTGAATCGGAGTAATGATGTTTCCTGGTCCATCGCTTGAACCAAGATGATAAGTCATGTCAATTTTTGTTTTCCCTCTGTTACCTCCCGAGCCTTCACCACCAGTCATCTCTCACCAATTATGTAAATTGGAGAAAACAGAAAAACAGCTCACAATAATTGTTCACAACTCGAGAACAGGGGAAAAAAAACAGAAAAAAAAATTCGTCTCACAAGAATCGTCCACCAATTATGTAAATTGAAGGAACGAAAAAAAATTTAGATGTTAACTAGGCGATACCATGTTAAATTGTTCACAATTTATCAAAATAATTCACTGTCAATTCTCATTCAACTTCATGGCACAATACATGTATATATATGCTAGAGTAACAACCCCACAATATTCTATCATATCTTCACATAAGATATGTTTCCTAATATATCACAAAGATATACACAATAATATCACAATAATATCTTAAGATCTCCAATAGAGATAGACATGTGTGTTTATGATTTAAGTTGCGGCCAACTGATCGAGGATCACTTTAATCTGTCTGGGTTAATAAATAGTTGGGTGGGATCTTTTTGGGTTGAACCACCTTCAATCAAAACTACTTCATCCATTCCATTGAACCAGTTACACGTTACATATCGTGGTCAAAATTCTGCATATTACAAATATCTAAACAATAAGTGGGGTTTTGTTAGATTCGTCCTAAAATATGCTTTCAAATTATTAGTTTTTTTTTTTTTTTTTTTAATCATATTTACCTACACAAAAAACAAAGGGTAAGCAGTTACTGAAGGAATGGAAGTCAAAGATTTATAAAGATGAAGCTCATCATATGTTTACTTGGTACTTATAGAATGTTATCTCCTGTGTAATTTATCTATTTAATTATAGGACTTTTGTGAGCAATATGTATTTTATTTTTTTTATGGTTTGTAATGCTATTAATTGTTGATATACGTTTGTCAAGAGCACGAGTTGATAGCTTGAAAAAAATAGTTGAACAACTATGCTTTTATAAAATAGTTGAACAAAAAGATCACAAGCTGAGAACTTTATGTTATACATAAATTGACAGTAGCGCTTGTTTTGCATCAAATATTACACATTTAAATAAGACTGATGCTTCTCCCTTCTTATTGGATAGCGGTGAGCCCTGTAAACTATGATGTACAATACAATTATTTACAATTTACATTTGGTGTAGTCTGTATGTACCATCTGCGTTTTTCAAACAGCAACTTGAGCAGCCGCTAGTCTTGCAATGGGAATTCTGTTAACAAAATAAAAACCATATTCATACTGCTCAAGTTATAAAAAAAAATAATAAAAAAAAAAAAAAATGAAATGCTTAAGCAAGAATGTATAAGCACGAGAATAAGCATAGTAAACCTGAATGGAGAGCATGAAACATAATCAAGTCCAGCCTTGGCGAAAAATACAACTGATGAAGGCTCTCCCCCATGCTCTCCACATATACCCACCTGTGAGTGTATTAAAAAAATACTTTTAGTGTGTTTTAGTAGATGGAAAAGTACAAATGGTAGGTTGGTCCTTGTATGAGTTATCACAGATTTGCATGATAAAGCGATGAAAGTAGGGCTGGGTCACAAGCAGAGGTAAATTCTAACATGGCTCAACATAGCTTAAAACATAGCTCAGCTCAACTTAGGTTAATTTCAACAAATTTAAACTAAGGCACAATTTATCTTGAACTTGCTAGGCTGAATTGATTGGATTAAATGAAATTTTGAGTTCAAGTTCAAGCTTGGCTCAATGTGCTCAATTCCATGGCAGTGTTTAGCTCGGGAAAGCTGGCTAAGAATTTCCTTATCAAAATTAAAATTATACTTTTTCATAAGCCAAATAGGATCAACCAGATCCGAAATGCTCATTATATGATATTGAGTTTGATCTCAGCTCATCTTTTTGACCTAAACACTTTTTCACAACTGTTTTCAGTTTTTTGGCTCGAATATGATATAGATTTTGATCTCAGCTCATATACAGAAACAGAACATGAGCCAAGTAGGATCAACCACAAGTTACCTTTTAATGCTATTTAGAGATGAATACCATCACATCATGAGACACATGATCACTCTAGGATTAAAAACACTGACTAGATTATAAATATATATCGAGACAAATTCAACAAGATCTAACTTGTCTATATGATTTCTCATATAATAATTACCAAAATTGGTCAAAGTGGACTATGCTACTGCATAGCGCTAATGGAAAAGTGTTTAGGTTAAAAAATAAACAGGGTTAGTAAATTATTTTGAATTAGCACCTGACCAAAAAAAAATGACTATAAATTGAATTTGAACAAACCTTCAAGTTTAAACAATTTCTAAAATGGATTGATAATTAAGGCATATTGATCTTCATGTTGTAATTTACCTTCGAGCTAGGCCTAGCAGCACAGCCTTTCTCGGTTGCAAGTTTGATGAGGTGGCCCACACCTTTTTGGTCGAGAACCTAAATTCAAAATGAGCAGCATTGTGTAGACTAGTTAATTTTGCCAATTCTGGTGGGATGTGAGTATTGAGTAAGACTGACTTACCACAAAGGGGTCAGTTTGCAGTATGCCTTTTGACAAGTATACAGGAAGGAACTTCCCAACATCATCTCTGCTATACCCAAATGTCATCTGTGTGAGATCATTTGTTCCAAAAGAGAAGAATTCTGCCTCCTTTGCAATCTACAAAATAAAATATTGTACTTCAATATTTTAGGTAAGTGCAGTACCTCAAATATGCACAAAAATTAAACAAATCCGACGAACTGTAACTATACTGTCTATAAACCCAACTTTAGTAGTAATTTTCACTCTGCTAGAGCTGTATGTTGGAAAGCACCTGAGTACATACGAAAGCTATTATATGAAATTTTAAGAGGAAGAAAGTAATTTTATTGTACCTCGTCTGCAATTAGAGCTGCCCTTGGGATCTCAATCATTGTTCCCACCTTGTATTTTAAGGAAGAACCCATCTCAGAAAATACCTTTGTCACTACTTCTCGTATCAAACTCACTTGATGCCCTAACTCCTGTCACTCAGATATGCGATAGTTAAGGTAACATAACACAAACAAAAATCCAACTAATCAACGATCAAAGCGGATCAAAATAGATATTTGAAAAGAAGTAAAAAAAAAAAAAGTAAGTACAATATTCCCAACAAGAGTTATGCCTACTGATCCTGCTATTCAGGAAATAAATCCAGTGTTCTAACAAAGGTAACAAGTCCAAAAGAGAAAAGAAAATAAATGTTGGCAAAAAGAAAAGGGTCCGTGCCTGTGGTGTTCCGACAAGAGGAACCATAATCTCAGGAAGAACTGCAATACCCTGGTTGCTCATTGAAACTGCAGTTTGGAATATTGCACGTGCTTGCATTTCAGTTAGTTCAGGGTATGATATTCAATTCCCAACCTCTAAGGACACATCAAGTTCCATCAGTACAAGTTCTAAAATAAATTTATAATAACCTAGTGACCTTATGATCACTGTCATTGTGCACATGATGAAATGATTAGATATTCTGCTTATAGACCTGTCAGTTTCTGACCCGAACCGTTAAACCCGACTATTTCGAACCGATCCAAAAAGGAACTGAACTATTTAAAACCCGTTTTTTGGAAACCGAAAACTAACCCGACCCAATTTTTTCCAACCCGAAACTGAACAGAACCGAATTTGTGCGAACCGTTACTAACCCGACCCGTTATCAAGCCAAACCGTTACAACCCGAAACTGAAAGCAACCCAAACTGATTACGTCTAAACCTGATAGTAACCCGACCAATTTAAAACCGAAAACCATTAAAACCCAATAAAAATCCGATAAACCTACAGCCGTTGTGACCGAACCATTTATAATCCGTAACCCGTTGTGACCGAACCGTTTACAACCCGTAACCTATTGAGACCAAATCGTTTAAAACCCGTAACCCGTTTTGACTGAGTCATTTACAACCTGTAACCCAATATGTTTATGATTTAATCCGTTTCAACCCACTACTCAATAAACCCAACTTATTTATGACTTGACTTGATTATAGCATGACCCGTTCCTACCCGTTATGTGACTAATTCGACTCGATAATCATCTGACTCAATTTTAGCCCGATATGATTTGAACTGAAACTCGCTTCAAATTGGGTAAACTCGTTTTCAAACCAACTAAGTTCAATCTAAACCGATTATAACCTGAAATGATATGATTGGATCCGACTTCACCCGTTCTGTTTTGAATCAAAACCCATTTTCGAACCGACCCACTTTAACCCAAATTGAGTATGACCCCGAACCAATTACGACCCGTCCTAATTAAGACCCGAACTGATTTTAGCCGAACCCCACATTAAACAGGCCAAATCCGCTTTCAAACCAACCCGGTTCAACCCAAATTGATTATTACCCGAACCGACTAGAACCCGACCCAATAAGGACCCGATCCGAATAGAAACTGCAATTAAAAAACCAAACCGAATTGACTCGATAATTTTCAAAACCGACCCAAACCAACCCGCTAATTATTTCAACTCGTTATAAACCGACCCGTTATAACCCAAAACTGATAAACTCAACCCAAACCTGAACTGTTTACCCAAATTGACACCCCTATCTGTGCTTAATCATAATATGTTCATTTATGAAGTAGAGTATCCATTATTTTCTGACATCAGTATTACAAGGGATTTAAAGTACATTGACTTCTTAAGATTTCTTTCATTTCTTAATTTTAGTATAGTATTAGAGCTTAGTTCTGTTGATTAAGGATTTATAGAAATTAGCCTCTTTGTAAGACTGCATACAGCTGACCCCCCCCCCCCCTCCCCCTCCTACAAGTATTAAGTTGATCGTGCTGCTAATATTATAACAAACATCTTTTGAAGAAAGACTACATTTCAGATGGTATGGTAATGCCCTGATAAATAACGGAATATCAAAAAATAAAAAAAATAAACAAAAAATAAAAAAAATAAAAAATAAACAAAACAAAACAAAACTCTTAATTGACAGGTTATAAGTACATATATGACTATATGTGAACACCTTATCCATTACCTGCAGCCCCTAAAACCCAACATGGGATTGACTTCTAATAACTTTTCTATTCTGGAGAAGACTTCATCTTCTGCCATCCCAGTTTCCGATGCCAGTTCATTCACAATTTGTTCCAAGTCACCTTCTGGAAGAAATTCATGAAGTGGAGGGTCTAGCAATCTTATTGTAACTGGAAGCCCTGAAATTAACAAAATAAAAATAACAATAAAGCACCTATATGCAAGGTAACTAAACCAAAATAAACATCAAAATAAAAAATTTTCTTGCCATCCATGGCTCGAAAAATCCCCTCAAAGTCCGATCTTTGATAAGGTAATAGCTGATCCAGAGCTACTTTCCTCTGCTCAGGAGTTATTGCCATATCATCTTCCTCACTGTCTCTATCCTGTCATCTGAAGCAAAGAACTAAGACAATGCATACATTAATCATGTTTCCTTGAGTTATCTGGCATATTATGATTATAAATTTTTAACAAAAAAGAATCTCATGACTTGTAAGAACCAGACCAGAACAAAGGCATATGAAGAATTTTTCATCACCTACTGAAATTTCCCCCCTTCTAAATATTATTAAAATCTCTTCTTACTTGAATAGGACAGACAACACACAATTTAGCGATTATTGAAATTAAATTAAAGGCAACTCCAGCATGACTCCTGTCAAAGTTGAGTCTAACAAGATTTGAAATATTTGCAATCATATTTCCGCTATGAAACTATAAGTATATACAAAATTTAGCATCAAGGGCATGACAATGTTATTTCAATATTTAAATAGCCCTTCTTTGTGATAACTACTGATAAATATAAAAGCAACACCAACAAATCATCTCATAACAATAGATTACTAAGAGAAAAAGTGTAAACTACCATGTGCTCAGTCCTACAAAGTCCAATTCCTTCAGCACCATTGTTTCTTGCTGCTAATGCATCCTCTGGGGTATCTGTGTTTGCCATGACCTATACATATACTAACAGTGAATGTGATTTATATTAATTTGCGATGTTCTGCATGATTTAGCCTTGCTATAGCCAATGTCAAAGAAACAGTCTATAACGAAAGCTACATAGACAAAATACATATGTAGATCACAGTTGTTTAGGGAACATGGAGGCACGCTCATAATGAATGCTTGGATGTATCACTCACACAATTAATATCCGCACATAACTCCAAGATAATTCTGACCAGTTTTTGGGATGCCTAAATTTGATGAGGAAAATGCAATGCATGGAATTGAGAAACAGTATGTCGAAACTGTATAACCTTAAGCCGCCGTATGTTATCAGCCCATGACATGAAGATTTCCAGATCCCCACTGAGAGCAGGAGGTAAAAGTGGTTCTTTCCCTAAGATCACTTCGCCAGTTGATCCATTAAGAGAAAGCCACTCACCTTCAGATATTACTTTGTTTCCAACCACAAGAACCTGGAAAATGAGCAATAAATCTCACACATCACATCTGATAAACAATGATCAAGGTTAAAATATAAAGTAAACATAGGAATCACCTTGTTAGTATCATTCACTTGGATCTCTAAACACCCTGAAATACAACACTTTCCCCGGCCACGAGCCACAACAGCTGCATGAGATGTCATTCCACCCCTTGCAGTCAAGATTCCAACAGTGCATGCATGCCCCCTACATCCTCTGGACTAGTCTCGATCCTCACCTTTATAATGCATACGTATGTCAGTTGGGACAAGGAAATCAGCATTCACATAAGTTTAAGAAGGTAAACTATTGGAGATACATGCTTGAAAACCAATAAAGGGTGCAACCTAACACTACATGATGTCACACATGTTCCAGATATTCAGTTGAATTCGATCTCAGTAGGTAAACTTGATAATGAAGTGAAGACAAATATGTCTTGATATTGGAAGCAAATAGCAAGAGTATTGAGGAAGAAAGCTTATGGAAGCTCAATGATTGAGAGAATATTATTACAGCATTATTTACACCCTTTGTACATATATATACTCCTAGGAATCAATCCCTAGAATGATCTGACCTAGTGACTCAGCATATCAAGCTGTACTACATGACAAAGGACATTACAGGACAAAATGCAGCTAATACACTACTAGGACAGAAGCTCATATAATTAGACACTAATCTTCATTACTCCCCCTCAAACTAGGAATGGTGTGATCTGATTCCTAGTTTGGAAAAAAGCTGTTGTTTCTGCGAGATTGTCATAGGTTTTGTCAAGATATCTGCTGGCTGGTGTGCTGATGGAATGTATTCTGGTATATCCCCAGCAAGGACTTTGTCTAGAACAAAGTGGCAGTCCATTTCAACATGTTTGGTTCTTTCATGTTGGACTGGGTTAGCTGCTATGGACAAGGCTGCTTTGTTGTCCACTTTTAAGAGTGCAGCCCCTATCTTCTTCATTCCCAGGTCTTTGAGCAACTATGTTAACCAAGTGACTTTACAAGTTGCTAGAGCCATGGCTCTATACTCTGCTTCTGTTGATGATTTTGCAACAACATGATTTTCTGGTGAGGCACCTAGCAGAATGCAACATGCTGTGGTTGACCTCCTAGTAATAGGGCATCCACCCTAATCACTGTCTGCATATACAGTTAAGACTGTTGCAGAGGCCAATAATATCCCTTGGCCAGGAGCTAGCTTCATATATCTGAGTACTCTTTTGGCTGCCGGCATATAAACTGATGTGGGTTGTTGCATGAATTGACTTAGACTGTTCACAGCATAGGTGATATCAGGCCTTGGCAGCCCCAAGTATATCAATTTGCCAATCAGTCTTTGATATTCTGTCACACTAGGCAAGGGAACACCATTCTCAATTGTGAGTTTCAGATGAGGGTCCATTGGTATTTTTACAGGCTTTGCCTTTTGCAAACCAAACTCTTTGATGAGATCAAGAGTGTATTTCTTCTGTGATAAGAATATGCCTTGCTGTGACCTATCAACTTCCAACCCCAAGAGTATCTGATGTTTCCCAAGTCTTTCATATGAAATTGGGAAGCCATGTATTGTTTCACTTCAGTGAGGAGAGACCGATCATTTCCTGCTAAGAGCAAGTCATCCACATACACCAATACAACAGCAAATGGCTGATTATGCTCTTTGGTGAATAAAGAGTAATCAGCCTTAGATTGAGTAAAGCCAAATTGTTTAAGGGCAGCACATAATTTTGAAAACCACTGGAGCCTGTTTTAAGCCATATACAGATTTCCTGAGTTTACACACTTTTGAAGTTTTAGTGCCTATCACATCTCCTTGAGTGTTGACTTGAATTCTGTTGTTCCACCCTGGATAGCATGCTCATATATACATCCTCCTCTAAATCTCCATGCAAGAAGGCATTCTTCACATCCATTTGCCATACCAGTATACCACCCAGTTTTCAATGGCAGCAACAGCTAAGAGTGATCTAGTGATCTTACTGTGCTCATTTTTGCCACGAGGCAAAAGTTTCTTCATAATCGATTCCATACCTCTGTCTCCACCCAAGGACAACCACTCTTGCTTTGTGTCTTTCTACAGTGCCATCTGGGCTAAGCTTGGTTTTGTATAGCCATATACAGCCAATGGCCTTTTTTCCTGCTGGATGAACTGACTCAAGAAAGCTGCAAATTGTGGCTCTACTATAGCTGGAATTGAGCTAGAGACACAAGTTGCATGAGCTTGTATTTTTCCCATATCATACTCTGCTGCTTTCCTTTCTCTAGTTGATCTTCTCATATCAATTTGCACAGGTGGTGGCTGGCTCGCTCAACTGATGGTCATCATGATCACTCATTGCATTCTGCTATGCATCATGATCAAGGGCATCATTCTCTTTTGAATCTAATCTGTCCAAGTTTTCTACATCATTCTCATGTTGATTGTCCTGCTCCCCCTAAACTTCTGCATTCTCATTCTCAGATTCCTTACCCTCTTCTTCATCACTAGTTAGGACATTTGATGGGAACTGAATATGTGCAGGAACAAAGTATTTCTGAGTTGTGGACTTCTTACTGTAGGGAAATAATTTCTCATAGAACTTAACATCTCTTGACACAAACACTGTGAGGTTCATCAATTTGTACTCTTTCTGTTTGTGAGCATAACCTAAAAACACACAAGGTACACCTCTTGCAGCAAACTTGTCTTTGTTTAGAGTTGGGTTATAGGCTACAGCTAAACAACCAAATACTTTCATATGAGAGTAGTCTGGTTTCTTGCCAAACAATTTCTCATAAGATGTATGTTTTTTATCAATTCTATTTGGGATTCTGTTGATTATGTATGTAGCTGTCAATACACAGTCTCCCCAAAAATGGAGTCAGGGCTCTAGCCATCTCTAGGATGTTTATATGCTTTCTTTCAACCCTTCCATTTTGTTGTGGTCTATCCACACAAGATGTTTGATGTATTGCTCCAAGATCACTGAAATACTCCTTGCATTTACTATCCTTGAATTCAAGGGCATTATCATATCTCACTAGGCTTGAAATTGATTTTTTGCAAACTATACTAGGTAACCCTAGAGCAATTATCAACTATGGTTAGGAAATATCTATAATTTCCTTTTGTTTTCACCTTGTATGGACCCTAAATATCAATGTGAATCAATTCAAACAAGTTCTGAGCATGAGATTCACTAGCAGAATAAGGCAACTTTGTAAATTTAGCCATAGGGAAAACCAAACACACAGCATCATCAGCAAATTTAGAGTTAGATACACAGCCAATTTGAACAATTTTGCTCATAGGAGCATGTCCTAGCCTACTGTGCCCATTGCACATTTCTAGACTAGTTTTATTACATTCTAGCTTCATTGCATCTTCCTGCAACTTCTTTCCATCTACTCCTTTCTTCTGCTGCTTATTCTTTCCAGCATCTTCTAAATAGAATAGTCCTCCAGAGGCTGAGTTGTGCAAATAGTGCACATTTCAGAGTAAAATTTCACTTCACAGTTGTTATCTTTCATCAATCTTCCCACAGACATCAAGTTATGTCTATGTCTATGTCTGAATTCAGGCACACACAACACATTCAACAATTTTATCCCTTTTTTTAGCACGTCACCTTTACATGTTATAGCTGCTGTATTCCCTGTTGGCAGATTTATTTTAGCCTTTATAGGTGTGCAAGTGGTCAAGAGTTTATCATCACAAATCATATGGTGTGTTGCCCCTGAATCAATTATCCATTCATTTTCAGTATTAACAACATTATAGCAAGTAATCATACCTGCAAACTTCACATCAACTTCATCTTCAGTGTCATATCCAGTTTTGCTATTCTTTGAGCTTGAGGGAACAAGTTTTGTTCAAGTTGCTGTGCAGTGAAACACAGACTCTTCTGCACTTTTGCACATTTGCACATTCCCAGCATGCTTTCCTGTTTTCTGCTTGCTCCACTTCCCTTTGGCTCCGGCCTCTCCTCCTTTTACCTGCTGCTTCTTGTACATATGATGCCATTTTGGATACCCAATCACCTTCCAGCACAGGTCTTCAGAGTGAGTTTTCCTTCCACAAAGAGCACCCTTCTCCATGATGCTCCTGATCTCTCTCTCTCTCTCTCTCTCTCTCTCTCTCTCTCTCTCTCTCTCTCTCTCTCTCTCTCTCTCTCTCTCTCTCTATTGTTTAATCTACGAGGTCGACGAGGTTCTTGACCTCTGCTGTTGAAGGCAGCAGGCTCCCCCTCACCCTTGGCTTCACCAAGGGTTTTTCTCAGAGATTCTTCCGCACAGGCTATCTCTCCACACTTGGCAGAGGAAATTGCATCAGGCACCTTTGAGCAGCATAGTTATCCAGACCATTCAAGAATTGGGAAAGTTTGGCGACAAAGTCAAGTTTTTGAAATAAAAAAACCCCTTTCTTCTCCATTTCTGCTGCTGCTGCTGTTCGTTGCTCGGTTTTGTTCTGAACCTTCAACTTGGTCGTTTCCTTTCAACCAAATCCGCTTAAATCTTTAAATTAAAGCTCTTCATCTCTAATTTACTGATCCATGTAAGTTTTGCTCAAACTCCTCTTATCTTGGAAGAATTTCATGCGTTTATATTCGCGGTTTTTTATTTTTAATCCGGGAATGTTCTTGCTCACTTGTTCTTTGGAAGTGATAGCTTCCCATGCCTTGAAACTCTGTCGAAAACCCTATCATTCAAGATCTTACCGAGTCTAAGTTAATTTCCGTTGAGATCTTTCATCTTGGGGAAATTCGCGATTATGACCAATTACTATTCCATACGAGGTGTTTGATCAAAATCCGGATGTGCTCAATCAATCAGGCTGATCGTCAATCTAACTGCGAACGGGCCGACTCTATTTGATTTGCTAAGCCATTTGTGTCCTTTTGCTTCAAATCTTTTGTACCTGCATTTATATTTTGGAATATAGGACTTTGCTCATCTTTTAGGGTTGACCTAAGGCTTAGTGTTGCTTGATTCATTGCATAATACTTAAGGTGTTTTCAACACATATGACTTGTCATGACTCGACTCGAAGCGTTTTGACATACATGGCTTGACATAACTCAAGGTATAAACTTGACTTAATGTGATTGACCGACTCGAGGTTAACTTAACTCGATGTGACTGGTGTGTGAAGAGTATTGACTCATGAGACTCGATGTGTACATGACTTATGTGTGCATTCGACTCGAAAACGCAAAAAAAAAAAAAAACAAAAATTTCCGCCATTTTTGTGGAGGGTACCGACTTTATCCCGAAAAAGAAAAACGCGAAAAGAGAGGAGTAAAGTGTTACGATGCATGTCGAATGAGCTTAAACAAATGTATAGATCAACGTCGTATCTTAGGGTGTGAAGATTGTAACATTCTAGGCTATCTCCATTCTAGGCTGCAAAAATCTAGTAAGAAATGAAGCCACTAGCTTATCTCTATAGTTAAAAGCTTTGCATCTCACTCCCACTAGCTTATCTCTATAGTTAAAAGCTTTGCATCTCGTTCCCACTCACTCATCTCTGGCAAATGGAGAGAGGCTCCATGAAGATGTCCCACCTCTCATAGGAAATAACAGAAAGAGACGAGGAAATTTAAAATATATCCTAATTGATGGGTTAAGACCCGAAGACACTAACCCACCTCAATACTAGGCAGAGTGCTAGTGCCACTGGGGACTGGCTACAGCAAAAGGCAATCATTAATGTGACCAAATAGTCTATGGCATGATAGCCGTAACTAAATTCATTAAAAACTGAGAAAAGTGTAGAGCATAGTTGATCTTGCTACAGCGTTTTCAAATTTGATACCCTTAAAATTTTCAATTCATCAGCAATAGAAGCTTAAATGCCCACTCTTTATTAATTTTCTCTCAGTAGCAGCAATCGTTTTCTAAAACAAAACGTTTAAAGAGCCCAGATACGAAACTGACCTATGTGAAACAATCCATATATCTGCATGGATATCCTTTGAAGAATACCCACATCAGTTGCAGCAGAAACATATTATTCAACAAGTGTGATGATGAACAGAAAATTTCATAAGCAACAATACTATGATCTGCAGATACACAGTGACTAAGGATATTCCTTTCTCTTGCATGATCCACATTTTTTCTCTCCGTTATTTTGAAATTATTAGGCGAACAGCGGTGATAAAGTGTTTACAGAGTTCAGTTCTTCAACACCTTAAAAAACAAACAAGCAAACATTTTAGAGTTAACAAAGCACCTGGACTCCTCCAGAGTGGATATGTGAAAATTCATTATCAAAAGAAAGAATGAGGCATACTGCATTTAGCATAATATAATTTAAGAAGATAAAGTAACATTCACAGCTAGCTTTCATAGAAAACAAAGATTGTCCACCTTCAGCAGTTTAGTACTTTATTGAAAAGATATTCCCCCATTCTGCAAATGCAAACAGATCTAGCACAGGCTTGAGAGGAAGTGTTCACTCCGTAAAACGAGACATATTTTCTCAATACATATCCAAGAGCGAATAATTATCAAAATTTGACTCATATAAAAGAACCGAGAAACACCATCTTACATATCCTCCTTGAAGCACACACCAACTACTTCAGCATCAACAGACGTGGATTTCTTGAGAAAAAGGTCAAAATAAAAAATTTCTTGATGAAACCAAAAACTTAAAACTTGATTGCTGAATAGCCAAGTCCTCAAAGAAACATAACTATGTTAGCAAAAGCATATACTAAATTATCTGATAGTTAGCATAACAGTATTCCTTGATCAGTAGAAACAATCTCTAAATTAGCAACCATTTAAAAATAATGTCAAGCTACTGCCTCAGGCCTCAGCTTAAGCTTGCACTTCTTGGAATTGCCCAAACTCCTGTACTTCCACAAGGTCAGCTGGCATAATTTTATTCTGCTTCCATATTAACCCTCAACTTCAAATTCCATAGAATCAACTACCCTTCTGACATCCCAAACTAACATACAGTAGATCATCAAAAAGCTACACTCAAGTCCAAATAATACCTACATCACCATTGATGATAAAACCATTAAAATTACTAAGCCTATAAAGCCCTCGAAGTTATATAAATATCTCTTCAATGAAGAAAAAAAAATCCAACAACAACAACAAAGTAAAGGAATGACCTTCTTGGCTTGACAAGGCTAATTAATCTTCGGGCTTCGGCCAAGCCTTGGAACCTCTCTCCAAGGCCTCCAGATTGGGTCCTGCATAAGTAGTCCTTGGGAATCCTGTCACCCAGTAAAAGGTTCTCGGATTATAATTTCTAGTCAATGGAAAGCGAAATATGCTATACTCTTGGCCTGGACAATCATACCAAGAATTATTATCAAGGAGTGATTGTGGAACTTCATCAAGGTGATACCAATAAAAAAAAAATAATAATAATAAAAAAATCCACCTATAATAACTTAATAAGAAAGGAAGGAGATTTCCGAAGATTTGAACATTCTTAACTTTAAAAAAAATGGTAATAGATTTAGATTTCTTATAAAAATAAGTAAGAATATGGAAAGAGAAATTGTTTTTAACTTTAAAGAGAATGATGAAAAACATACGGTGATTTCTATTAAACGGAAGTCTAAAAACATTGTGGGACGAAGGGCACAAAATGAGACAAAAAGGGCATATTAAGAAGAAACCACCTAAAATGTGAAGATAAAAAGGGCACAAAATGAGACCACTCAAGCCATAGGCAATAGTTTCTCGTGAAAGAGTAGTGATAGGGGATTGCTTTTAAAACTTAAGAGGATGGAGAATAGCTATTCAGATGAACAAGAATATAACGAAACTGTTAATTATAAAATTAAGTAGCTAATTCAAAAGTAACAGAAGAGTAAGAATTAAGGATTATTACAATTGTGAATTTGTACAAGAAAATACCATATACAAGCATAAAATATACATGTATATATTTTAAGAGCTATAAGATGAAACATGTAAGAAATATACATAAAAGAGGTAGATCAGTAATGAAATACCCAAAGCTCAAAGCCTCAATTTGAGAATTATGAAAACTTCACCTCCAATAGACAGGACGATTTGGGAGGGGCAAGACATCAACTTGGAAAGTTGGGGGCACCTGCACCCTAAGCTTCACCTGGTATAGATCACAAAATTGTTATCATCAAGAAAGAAAAATCAAATCATAGTAGCAGGATCAAATGAATTACTACACGTATTCTGTGAGTAAATCTAAGAAAATAACACGTAGAAATTGAAATTTTGATTGCCTGTCTCTTACTGAAATAGTTATGGTCTTAATGGAGCAGAGTGGTGGTAGGAAATGAAGACCTCTCCAATGTGATTTTGCTCTTCACATAGATTAATGAAGAGCAGTCACTAGTGTGTCCTTTGCATTGAGGACTTCTTGTTCCTCACATCTGAACGACTTTACAGAGTCATCTTCATTTGCATACTCAATGTCAGGAAAGTGGAGCTTGCTCTGTAATGCCCCATGAAGTTCAGTGATCTTCTCTATGTTACAACTCTTCACATGATTCAGAGCTATAGCATGATAAGAACTAAGCTCAGTATCCTCATTGGCATTATTTATATAGTCCAAGAGCTCCAATGCTTTTTCAATATCTCCTTTCTTACATAGACCACTAACTAGGGTGGAATAGGTGACGACAGAAGGAACAATGCCTTCTTCTTCCATTCTGTCCTTAAGTTTTATTGCTTCATTTGTATTGCCAGAATTGCAGTACCCACTAATTAAAATATTATAGGTTACAACATTAGGAACTAAGCCCTTCCGTTTAAGTTTCTGAAAAAGTCTTACAGCACGATCCAGGTTTCTGGACTTGCACAGGCCATTTATGAGAGCATTATAGACAGTAATATTTGGAACTAAATTCTTTTCCAGCATGTCATCACGTAATTGAAAAGCTTCTTTAAAACTGCCAGCAATAGAATGTCTATGAATCAGAACGCTGTACGTATAATTATCTGGCACAAACCCTCTCTTCAATAAAGTTGAGAACATTGTCATTGCATCTTTAAGCTTCCCAGATTTGCAAAGCCCTAATATAGCCAAATTATAGATGACATTATTAGGTAGTAGACTCTTAAAACTTGAGTCAATAGAATCTATAATGTTGCGTTCATCTAGGTTTATTTGGTCTGCTGTCCAAAACTCTTCAAATGATCCAGAACTTAGAGAAATTAAGTCAGCCATTTTCTGCAGCCAGTTATTTGCTTCCTCAATCCTACCAAACTTGTAAAGCCCACTAACCAGAGAGCAGCAAATAGATACATTCGGTGTGAGCCCCTTCTTTAGCATCTCCTCATACACACTCAATGCTTTATCAAACAATCCTTGTTTGCACCAACCCGCAATCAGGGCACCATAGGTGACAATAGTTGGGGATACACCCCTTTCATGCACTTCAGTAACAAGACCTGGAACCTGAGATGAATTTCCACTTTTAAAAAGACCATCAATAAGAGAATTGTACACTTCAATCGATGGTGAAATTGAATTTTTCTCCATCATATCTTTAATATTAAAAGCTTGTTCAACATGTCCAATTCTGCAATAGCCATCGTTAAGGATCCTATATGTCATCCCATCAGGAGAACACCCAAGATCGATCATCTTCTTTAAAATAATCTCTGCCTCAGCCATTTTCCCCATCTTGCACAGACCATTTAACATAGTGTTAAATGTAATACTATTTTTGGCTAACCCCTTTGCTAAAATCTTTTTCCACAGTCTAAAAGCCTCATCTACCCTTCCCATTTGGAAGAATCCATCAAGCAACGTGCAATAGCTGACTTCATTTGGTCTCACACCTCTTTTCAGCATCATACGCCAAACCTGCATAGCATCATCTAGTGCTCCTTCACAACATAAACCTTTCAGAAGAATATTGTATGTAACAGCAGTGGGTTCAACCCCTTCATGGATCATCTTGTCAAAAAGAACATAAGCCTCACGACTATGACCATCTCTACAATACCCATTTATCAAAGTACTAAAACTATAACAATCAGGCTTCAAACCCCAATCCACCATTTGTAAGAATATTGACTCAGCTTGTTTGACTTCCCCAATTTTGCAATAACCATTTATCAAGGAGTTACAGATGACTGGATTCATCTTCAGACCAGATCCTAACATGCTATCCCGGATTCTAACAGCATCATCCATCTTACCCATCTGACAATAACCATCTATCAAAATACTATATGCATAAACATCTACCATCAATTCCTTCATTTCAAATAACAACTCCTCTGCTTCTTTCATATTACATTGTTTACAATAGCCCTTCACTAGAATGGTATAAGTGACCATGTTTCCGGCGATTCCCTTTTCATCCATCAGGGTCAGAACCCCTTTAGCTCCTACCATATCTCCTAAGCTAACATACCCATTCATCAAGCTATGATACGTCACAACATTAGGCTCCAAACCCAAACACTCCATTTCTTTAATAAACTCGACAGCTCTCCCAACTCTACCACCTTTACAATATGCATTCACTACAATACTACACATAAACACATCCGGGGCGATTCCAACTCTCACCATCTGATCATAAACACAAATAGCCATATCATACTGCCCATCCTTAACCAAACAGCTCAACAAACTATTACAAGACCGCAAACTCGGCACACGACCACACTTACCCATATTATCAAACACATAGAGTGCATCATTAACAAACCCCTTTTCAGCAAATACCTTCAAAATCATATCAAAAACAGTAGGAGAAAAACCAAATTCTCTATAAACCCTAACCAATTCACCCCAAACAACACGAATTGGCAAGTGGGTATTTCCACAAACATCAACAAGTTGATTCAAATAAATCCTAGTTTCATCAAACAACCTACCCTTTGACAAAATATGAACAATCATACAATAACATCTATAACCTGGGCGATACTTTTGGTGATTCGAAGCTAACCTGAAAAACCCAAGACAAGCATCAGAATTTAAGCGAAGATTTGTAAGGATATCAATGACAATGTCGTCGGAAAATTTGATGGGGAGTTTGGCAGCCGTGTCGAAGCGGCGGAGGACTAAGAGGCGGCAAAGGCGGGAGAGGAGTTCTGGCGAGGTGAGGTTGGTTTCGTGGGTGGGAGACCAGTGGATGCATCGCCGGAAATGGCGAGGAGAGAGAAAGAGAGTGCGGAAGGAGTGTCTTAGCATTGGAACTTTGAGTTGGTTGTAGCTTCTGCAGAGTGTTACTGTTGTTTTCAAATTCTAGTTTAGGTGATTGCAGTCAGAACTTTGAGTTTTTTTTTTTTTTTGTTTTTTTTTTTTTTTTTTTTTTTTTTGAGACAACTATATAAATAACTAGTTTAGTTACCGTGCCATGTACGGTTACACAATAGTACGTAGTATTTCACTAGGTTAGACCCTGTGCATGAATAGCTAGTCATGTTCGAAAATCTCTTTCAATTTAAGTTTATGTCACAACATTAGTAATTGGTAACATTAAGGTCTAGCGATTTAAATAGCGATTAGTGTTTGGACCAAGTCAAAACACCAGTAGAAAAACATAGGTGTATTTGGTAAGTTAGCGATTAATATTGTTGTTATTTGTATTGTAGAGGTAGTGTTTAGGTAGTTTTTGTCAAACGTTAATAATATTAGCATTTAAAGGTAGCGGGTAGCTTTTGACATATTTTGTTCACTTTATAAATATACTACTTCTTTGCCCGAGCAATGCTTGGATATTTACAAGAAAACAAATTATTTTTATAAATTACGGAGTACTATAAATTTGAGAAGTATCTATTTATGTTATTAATTATTATAGATTAGATATGGTAATGTAGAGTACTTCTCTCTAATTTTAGTTTCCTATTTTATTTATTTAAGTTGTTATTGTTGCTCTATTTTTTAGGTTGCATATTCTTTCTTTATTTACTTATTTATTTATGTTATTAATTTTCATGAACAAAAAAAAGAAAAAAAAAAGGTTTTTGGCTGGAAACTTTTTAATACAAATGCGACACGTGTACTTTGGGGATAAGGATGGGGATTACTTTAGTATATTGGCAAGTATTTTTTTTTTTTTTTTTTTTTGAAAAAAGTCCTAAAGGACACTAAATTTCATTAATATAAGCCATACGACATCTACAATTAACAATGAACGATAATGAAAACGAATTTAACAAAATCAAACAAGAATTAATCGGGGAAGGAGTAAGAATCCAAATACATAAATATAACAATTCGGCATATTCTCGACTCGTTGTCTCATACAACTTTTTGAATGGATCCGTCGTCGCTTCGCAAGTTTGTGAGAAAGTCAAATCTTGAGCTGATTCCGTAACCCGAATCCGAGCCACAATCAATAGTAGCCCCGCACAACCGGAGACCAAATTAAGCACCAATAAAACCTTGTCTTTCGAAGGAGTACGAAAAACCTTGTCTTTCGAAGGAGATCGAAAAAACCTTGTCTTTCGAAGGAGATAAACCCTTTCTTTCGAGGGAAACATTATTGTAACCTAAAACAAAAGGCTTAAAAGAAAATAAAGATTGGGGCTTTCCACCGGTGAAATCCGATGGAAGCCCCTTCAAAATTGACAGTATATTGGCAAGTATTGATTATACATGTACTTTTACTGTATTTAATATTTCAACTGCTATTTTTACCAAACACTTATACTATTAACCACTACATTGACAGCTAACCTCTACCCACTATTAATTGACGGCTACTTGCTACTTTAACAGCTACCCGATACTCGACCACTAAAAGTTATCCACTACGCTACCACTAGTTTTGTCAAACATGACCCAAGGCAAATGAGGGAAAATAAGATGTAAAAAACCCTTTATTAAGGATTCAAATATCCACGCTACACTATTCTTAAGAGTTCACTAAAAAAAATCAACTAACATTAATTTATGATGACAAATAATTAATTAAACAATTTATAGGGTATAATTGTTCAAATATTTTTTAAGAGTTATCTCAAACTTTTTAAAGATAGGGAATTAGGAATAGGAAATAAAAGGGAAAAAAAGCCAAAAAGCTATGCTACACGTTGTAAGTAAATAAAAAGAAAAAAAAAAGAAAGAATATACCCCTAAACTTTTTTGAATTCATCATATACCCTCGAATTTTTACAAAAAATATACCATATACCCTTGATGAATAATGATTGTTAATTTTGTAAGTCATTAGGGTTAGTTATGACCCAAAACCACCCTAAATACATTCCCATACCTTTGAAACATTCCGTTTTACCACCCCCAAAACCACCCCAAATTTCCTTTTCTAATCCTCAAAATTAATCATACGGATATGGTTATGAATACTTGGAGTGGTTTTAGGGGTTGGAGAAAAGGAGTGGAGTGTTTTGGGGATGGGGGTGAGAGATTTAAGATGGTTTCGATGTAAAATCAATCAAATTTCACTCACTTTGTTGTCATTAAGGATATATGGTGAATTTTTGAAACAATTCGGGAGTATATGGTGAATTTTCAGGGGTATGGTGAATAAACAAAAAAATCAGGTCTATGTTGTGAAAAAACCCTAAAACAAAACAAATGGTTAAGGGCTTCTTTGGCATCATTTTTGGTTTTCAGTTTTTTTTTCTTTTTTTTTTAAAAACTAAAAACCAAAAATAGGAAACAAGAAAAAGGTGTTTCCACTTTTCTGTTGTCAGTTTTCAAAATTATCATGATTTTAATAAGTCTAAATAACTTTTTATTCATTATGTGACATATATAATATACTTTTAAAAAACAAAAAACCAAAAAACAGAAAACCACAGTGATGCCAAACAAACTCTAAAATGGTACATATGTAATTTGCAAGCATATATGAGGGTACATATATGTGAATAGACAATTTTCAGTATATAAATAGACATGTATAAGGATATAGTTGGCATAACACTATTCATAAGTGTTTAATTAAACTTTTAAAAGGTAGGGAAGAGCAAATTATGATGAAAGGATGGTTGAATAGAGAGTAAAGATCGACTTTAATTTTTACGATTCCTTGAATTTATACGTGTGTGTATATATGTTATATATATATATATATATATGTATATATATATATGTATATATATATATATATATATATATATATATATATATATATATATATATGTATGTATGTATGTATGTATGTATGTATGTATGTATGTATGTATGTATGTACATAATTCTTCTTCTCTCTCCTCTTTCTCTCTTCTCTTTTCTTCTTTCATCTTCTACGACATTTTCCTTTTTCCCCCAATTTTATTTCTATCTCCTCTTTTTTTCTTCAAACTTCATTAATGGTTTACTATTGGAAATTTATGTTCTACGAATTTTATGTTGAATTCAATCTTATTAGCTGAAGATTTTGATTATATAAATTGTAAGTTGTTAAATTTTATTACTTAATTTTTTGTTTAATTGAAGAACGAAGAACAAATTGTTTTCGTGTATAGTGGTGGTTTCGTGGGTGGGTAGTGGTGGTTTTGTGGATGTGTAGTGGTGGTTTCGTGGTTCTGGGTTCTAGATCTGGTTTCGTTGGTGGTTTAGGTTGGTAGTGGTTCGTTGGTGGTAGTTGTTGGTGGTGGGTAAAGGGTTACTAGATCCGGTCAGGGGTACTAGGTGGTCCAGTCAGGGGTTACTAGGTGGTCCGGTCAGGGGTTACTAGGTCAGCGGTTAGGGGTTACTTGGGGTTACTAGGTCGGGGGTTACCAGGTCGGTTCACTAGTAGAAAATAAGTGATGGGAAGTCCCAAATGGCAAGCGGTTTTAAAAATCCGCTTGCCATTTACCCAATTTTTTTTTTTTAAAAAAAAAACCTGTAATATTAAATGGCAAGCGGTTTTGGTGCGAACCGCTTGCCATTTAAAAAAGAACCCTAAACTAATCGTACTTAGCTTGTAGCCTGATATGTCCATTTTATATAGTAATTTATACCCGTCCCTTGGTCATAGTTAGTAGTGTTTTTGGCTCTTTCGAGCCACGTTTATTACTAATTTGTGTTTTCTAGTGTTTTCGTAGTTTTAGTTGTATTTTACAGGAAATTGCACTTTTGGAGCATTTTCCCGGGTTTTATGGATCAACTACGGAAGCTAGAAAGACACGACCGCTTTTGAAGCCCGGGATCGGTGAGAGCCGATGATTAAGGGCTCGGTATGAGATACCGAGGCTATTGGATCGTTTAATCAAGACCCGATGAGGAAACTTAGATTGGGCCGAGGAATTGAGCCCAATCGAAATCCGAGCCTCAAGAAGAAGACCGGGCCCGATCGGGCAAGCTTGCGCCTGATCGGGCGGGCGCGCATAAGAGAGCACCAGCAAGAAGGCGCGCCCGATCGGGTGAGCGTTAGCTCGATCGGGCGCGGCTGCCCAGATGGATCGTGAAGAAAAAGGCGGGCCCGATCGGGCGGCCCTTCGCCCAATCGGGCGCGTGTTTTCTCAAGACCTGATTAGTTAGTTTTAATTTTTGCTTTAGGGAATGTTTAAGTACGAGATTTGTACGTAATTTAGGATTACCTTCTTTTATTATATTTTCTCTCTCTACTTAGGATTTTTCTCTCTCTCAACTTTTCTCTCAACTCTTGTTCTTAATTATTTTTCATTAATACAAATTTCCTTTGGTAACTATTTCTCTTCCGTTAATCTTAGTTGTTATTTCATACCTTTAATCATGTCTTGCTTTATTGCTTTGATTAGTTTAGTTTCTATTATGTGTGAGTAGTTTTCTTTCTAGGGTTTATGGGGATCCATAAATAATATGAAGGGGTAATTTATTGTTGTTGATTGTCAATGCTAGATTAATTTCCTATTGATTGATTTAATGCTCTGTGACTAGATTAGGCCTGATCTTTTATGCATGAGTTTGACAATATTGATTCGAGATTCGACAGATGAGAATTGATGTTTAGGTCTAGTTTCAATAGGCAGGTTAATTTATAAATGGTTAAGTCGAGATTCGAGAGATGAGATTTAATACCGGTAGATTAATTCTGTGATTGTAATACGTAGCGAAAGCCCTTTACGATCTGGTTAATTGATGCATTGATGATTGACTATTATTGATTTTTGATATTGCATGATAATTTCTTATTGAATTGTTTTAACGCTTTACAATTATGGCTTGTAAAAGTATAGCAATATTGAATTGATGAATCGAGCAGATGTTAATTTGATATTAAAGGCTATTTTCAATAGGAACTTAGATCTAGTAAATTGTGAGAGCCTGTTAGATCTATGTTGATTAATAAATTGCGAGAGCCTGTTAATCATGTTATTTATGCAATGTCAATGATTGATTATTATGTTTTACCCTAGAGTATTATTTATTGGTGAACTTATGCCCTAGATCCTTTTATATATTATTTTCTCCTTATTCTTGATCTCCGTAGTTTAGTTTATTATTCAAATATAAATATTGGTTACCTCATAATCTAGATTATAATAGTTAATTAGGAATAGAAAGATCCGTTTCTCTGTGGATTCGACCCTACTTCCCTATCTACATTAGTTAGAGGATTTAGGAATTATTTTTGATTTGGGGATACGACTCTACCCTGTCATAGCCACCCACCCCTCCCTTCATTTCCCGATTCTCTCTCCTCTTTCTTTCATTTTCGCTGCTCTCTCTCTCTCTCCTCTTCCATATCCCCCTTTCTCCCTCTTTCTCCTTTTCTCTTCCCTTTTCATCTTCGATTTCCTTCATTCCTCTCTTCTTTCTCTTTCTCTTTTTCTTTGTTCTTTCTCATCTCCACAAATTCGAACCAAAACCGGATAATCTCGACAAAATCAACCAAAACTCCAAGTCAAATTTCGAACAAATTTCGAGCAAATTTCGAGTATAATTTCGAGCAAATTCGTACATATTCGTGCATGCGTGTGGGTGTTCAAGTTTTTTATGTCAAATTTATGGTCGAATTTGACCTTTAAAACCGTAATTTCAAGCCAAAATCGGTGGGTTAGATAGTCGTGGTGGGTAAGATGGTTTTTTTTTTTTTTTATTTCGATTTTAGTTTTATTTTTTATTTTAATTTGATTTTTGGTGGGGGTTGTGGTGGGTGGGGGGGGTCTGGTTTTAGTGGGTGGGGGTCGTGGTGGGTGGGGGTCGTGGTTTGGGTTAGGGTCGTGGGTGGGGGTCGTGGTTTGGATGGGGATTTGGTTTTGGTGGGTGGGGTCGTGGCTTCAGTGATGGTTTTTTTGGTGGGTGGGGATCTGGTTTTGGTGGGTGGGAGTCGTGGTTTGGGTTGGGTCCGTGGTGGGTGAGTGGCTGGGGGTCGTGGTGCTGGTGGTGTAGGGTGGTGGCTGGTGGTTAGTAGTGTAGGGTGGTGGCTGGTGGTGTGGGGTGGTGGTGGCTGGCGGCTGGTGGTGTGGGGTGGTGGTGGTTAACAGTTTTTTATTATCAATTTTTTTGTTAATTTATTTTTTTTTAACTTGTTGAAAATCAGAAATTATAATATTACAACAATTAATTAATAAAAGGAAAATTTGGATTTTGGTACCTCGAAAATGGGGGTAATTGAAATTTTAGTACCCATCTAAAATTTTATTTTAAATTGGTACCTCAAAAATGACTAAACTATAGATATCAGTACCTCCGTTAGCATTCAGTCAACTTTGCCGTTAGTAGGTCCCATTATCTAATTATTTAATAATTTAATTTATTAAAAAAAAAGAAAAAACATTTAATTAAAAAAAACTTAAAAAATAATAAAAAAAAACTTAAAAAATAAAAATAATAATAAAAAAAAAACTTAAAAAAAATTAGAAGAACCCCGCCACCCACCCTGCCTCCCCGCGCCGACGCCACCCCCCAGCCTCGCATCCCCGCGACGACGCCACCCCCCCCCCACCAACCCTGCCTCGAAATCACCCCTTCCCCCTTTCCCCCAAATTAATTTTTAGGGTTAAATTTCTGGGTTGTGGGTGGTGGGTTTCGGGGTTCGTGGGTGGTAGGGTGGTGGGTTTCTAGGTTCCTGGGTTGTGGGTGGTGGGTTTAGGGGTTCGTGGGTGGTCGGGTTGTGGGTTTCGGGGTTCGTGGGTGGTGGGGTGTGGTGGGTTTCGGAGTTCGTGGGTGGTGGGTTTAATTTCTGGGTTCTTGGGTTCGTGGAATTGTGGGTGGTGGCCCTGGTGGGTTAATGGGCACCCCTGCCTGGCCGCGGCGGCAGCTGCTGTGGCTGGGCTTCGTGCCTGGCCGCGGCGGCAGCTGTTGTGGCTGGGCTTCGTGCCTAGTCGCGGCGACAGCTGCTGTGGCTTGGTGGTCGCCATTGGCCTCTTGGCTGATGGATTTTTTTTTTATTTTATTAGTTTTTTTGTTTTTTTATTTTAAAAATGTTTTTTCTTTTTTTTTAATAATTTAAATTATTAAATAATTAGATAATGGACCCCACTAACGGAAAACTTAACGGAACATGGACGGAGGTACCAAAACCTATAAAGTTACAATTTTGGAGGTACCAATTCAAAATAAAATTTTAGATGGGTACTAAAATTCAATTACCCCTATATTAATGTTTTTACATATGTTTTGATTATGTATCAATTTAAGAGAAAAAAAACCAAAAAAAAAAAATTTATTTTTTTATTTTTAATACCCCTAATAGGCAGCGCTTTGGCGCCAAAACCGCTGCCCTTTTACTATAATTGGCAAGCGATTCTGAACCGCTTGCCATTTTGAAGACCAATTGGCAAGCACCCTAAGGGCATGCGGTTCAGAACCGCTTCCCATTAGGGGGTTTGAACTGCTTGTCATTACGTTTTTTCAACTAGTGGTTAGGGGTTACTAGGTCGGTTAGGTGTTATTACTAGGGGTTACTAGGTCGGTTAGGGGTTACTTGGGGTTACTAGGTCAGGGGTTACTAGGTCAGTCAAGAGTTACTTGGTCAAGGGTTACTTTTATCTTGGGGTTACTTTGTCATTTGCTGATTTAGCACCCTGCCGCATGGTGCGGCCAGCCGCACCAGAAACGCACTGCAAGCTAATTGGCTTGAGAATAGAGAAAAATAAAGCTAAAGAGTAAAACACTAAGGTTCTTCTCTCTATCTTATTTTTGTCGAATTAAATTTTTTTTTTTATTAAAATATCTAAATTATTTTTGCTAAATTTTATTATTTTAATTATTTTAATTTTTTTTTAATATTTACTAATTTTTTTATACTCGTCTATTACACTAAAATTAACTTATACATTCATTTGTGACAAAACTTAAAATTGAAACTTTGAAACCAATAACATTCAAAGGGATGCTAACTTTTATACTCCGTACTAATCTTATTCACTAGCCGATAACACATGTACTTTCTCCTAATCAAATCCTATTAAGATGAATAGATGATGTCCAAAACACCTTACCTGAAATAAAATAAAATAAAATAAAATTTCTAAGAAAAACACCTTATCAGTAACTAGCCCTGGTTATTGGACAGGGTAGTCCAATGGGCACCAGGGTCGGGAGGGCTATGACCCTCTAATTATCTAAATGGACAGGGCTCGTGTAGGGCCTCTCCTAAAAGGGTCATTAATGGGCTCTTATGAACAACCCTATAAAAATGAAAATAGATATAGGGTCATTAAAAAGGCCACCTAAATACATTAAACCCTAAGTTCTTCAATGCAAAATTATTGCGATTTCTATATTATTGCACAACTGATTTCGAGATTTCGATTAATACTGAGGTCAGTTAATTGAAATTCGAGCAGAATTTGTTGTAAATCAATGAGAAATTTTTGCTTTATACTTTGTAAATTTAGTTGCACTCCATGTGTTTGTCAAAATTTCTCAATCTACTTACCGTATTTTTAATTTAATTTTTGCTTTGATTTATTTGTTCTTGCTATTCAATTCTGAAAGGTGCTAACTTTATCTATCTCATTGTATAACATGCTGGGTTTTTATCAGATTGATAAGAGATAACTTAGAATATTATGTTGATTATGTTAATTATGATTCTAGCTTGTAATATTTTGCTTAATATTAAAAATCAGACTCATGCAATGCTATGCTTGGTTACACTTTATACACTGACCTTAAGGTTTCTGAGGTAGCTGCCCTCTTTGGAATCGACCCAATTGCTCTATTAACCGCAAATTCAATCGACATTTCGTATAAGGAAATTAGTTGCAAATTCCTTAGAATTTCGTATATACAATTTTTGCAAATTCCTCAGAATCCCCATTAGTTGTTCTTGTGTTGATGGTATAAGGAAATCAGTGTCTACCCATTACAAAACCCGGCCTTTTGATTCGCTTTCCTCGATTGCAGACTCGATTTATGGGGGTTTAGTGTCTACAGATCAGCTTAGAGAAGCTAATTCAATTACTGATACTGCTGTTCTTGATGTTGGACAGAATTTGGTTGTGCCTTTGCCTTGTACTTGTTTTAATAATACTGATAACTCTTTGCCTGTTGTACTTGTTTACATGAGTAGTTAAATAGAAGTATGTGGGTAAAGGCCCGTTAATGGTCCGTTTCATTTTTACACTGGCCCAACCCTGACCCGACCCTGACCCACTAAATATTCATTATGACCCGCACCGACCCGCATTGACCCGCCCAATAACCACCCCTATCAGTAACAGTAGTTAAGGAGAAGTAAACAAATAGAAATGGAATTAAGGAGAATCTCCTAACAACTCTTTGGCAAAGTCAACGGTTAACAGCCAGTGGGCCCTGATGACATCTCTAAATTAATTTTGTCATTAATTTTATTAATTAAGTTGATGCCATTGTAACATTGTATTGTTTGATCATACATTCATACTAATTATTTTATTAACTAATATACTATAGCTAAGCTTTGAAGAACACCGAATGGAAAATGGCTTCAGATTATGAAATTATCCCTCTTTTATCCCCCTATCAAATGGGTAACTTCCATCTTTCTCTCAGGTAGCTCAACTCTCTTCTTCTTCTGTTTTGTTTTTGTTTTGTTAGATGATGTTTAATTTGTATTAATATTAATATATCTTCATATTGCAATGTGTGAACATGAAGTTGGAAATTTGATGTTGTTCCATAGTTTAAGTTTGATTGGTTTATTTATTTTTCTATGGGTATTTTTATACAATAATGAATTTTTTGGGGTAATATCTTAAATATATGCATGAAGAATATAGATGCCCCTATCCCACTTATTACTTTCACTCTTCAATTCATCGTTTTTTTTAAAGAAAAAAAGTCAAAGTTCATCAACTTTGATCACGAATAATTCTCGTAACTTTAATTTGTATATTTTCATATGAGATCTTATTTGATTTGTTAGTTTATATATACTGTATTTATAATAAGAAAAATTGAAACTTATAATCTCACCACAATCCCACCTTTTCAAAATCTTAAAACAATCTCATCTTTGACCCCCTCTGCTCTAAACATTCCTTAATCAGTTTGTGAAGTTGATAACCGGTTTTAGAAGGTCAGTGTCACATGTGTCACGTGTCACCTTCTGATAGGTCTTTTTAACATTTATTTTAAATAAAGGATTTAGAAAAATTAATAACCCCTTTCCTCTACCTTCCCTTACCGGAGCCCCCCACCCCCTGCTTGACCAGCCACTCGCCGAGTTATTATCCATTAAAGTGGCATGCATGTGAGCTTTCTCACCCCCATTTAGGCGGCTTGACGATGGTTCCATTTGGGTTAGGGGTGAGAATGAGCTGAGGGTGGGAGTTCAGTTCAGGCGATTTTTAACGGGGTGTTAGGTGACGGGGTAGGGTTTCACATGGGACAAGTTGGGTTTTGGAGTTCATGTGGGAGGTTCAGGTGAGATTTTTCCGATTTGGTGGGGTAGGGTTGGGAGTACGGGGTGGAGGTCAAGTGGGGCTAGGTCGCTTGGGTTAGGCTGGGTTGGATCGCAGGGATCAAATAGGGTTGGGAGAGCGCATGCAAGGTTTTTGTAGGGTTTAAATGGGAGATTTAGGTTGTGTTCGCTTCGCGATGCATGGGGGTCATGTGGCTAGGGGTTCAGTACGTGGTCAGGTTGGATGGGGTAGGGTTGGGAGTTCATGATGGAGATTAGGTGGGAATATGGTTATATGGAGGTGCAATGGTGGTGAGGCCATTTAACGAGTTAGGGAGGTGGAAGGTAAATAGAAGGAGATTTAATTTAAGAAATAATAATAATAATAATAATAATAATAATAATAATAATAATAATAATAATAATAATAATAATAATAATAAAGAGAGAATATATTAAACATATTTTGATAAATTAAAAAGGATCGTATTGAGCAGACGGAGGTCAAAGGCAAGCTTGTTTCTAGATTTCGAAAAGGTGTGATTGTTTTGAGAAGATGAGGTAATGGTGAGATTAATTATTAGTTTTAATTTTTCCTTTATCATATCAATTTTATAATAGTAACACATAAACTATTTTCGGTCGTTCAAACATTTTTGAAGATTATAAAACAACAAATTATCATACAAACAATATGTATTTTCCTTTATTACCGAGAGTCATATTCAAGTTATTTTTTTTATAGAATTAAGTTTGCCTTATTATTGTTATTATTAGGGTTGTATTAGCCCCATTGTCAAGAATGAGATAATATGGAAATATTCCTCAACCACAAGCAATTCTATATTATTCTCAAAGGACTACAAATGGAGGTTTGCTCATATCCGAAGCAACTGTAATTTCTGAAACTGCTCGAGGGTAAGTTTGAGCCAGATATCTATCTTCTACTAGTGCTCTTTATTTCTATTGACAAACAAAAAATTCGTTTCTTAACTTCAAATTGAAGCAATTTTATTTTTCAGGTACAAAAACACACCTGGTATATGGACAAGGGAGCAAATCGAAGCATGGAAACCTATTGTTGATGCTGTGCATGCCAAAGGTGGCATATTTTTCTGTCAGTTATGGCATGTTGGACGAGTGTCGAATGAAAGTAAGTAACTTTAACTTTGACACTCTTTTGAATTGTCTCAAATCGTTAATATATATTTTGTATGTTTGGTTTTCTTTTATTGTTTATGATAAATCTTTTGGCATTTATAATAGAAGGACAAGGTTGTTTTGCGTACCAAAAATTAAACATTGTTATATGTATGAGTAATTTGCAATAACTTTTTTTATTTAGCTTAATTAGAGTGTGTTTTATTTACCTGATTTTCACTTATTTGAGCTTATCATATTCGAATCTATCTCCTTATTAATCTTTATATGTTGAACATAGAAAAGCTTATCTGAATCTATATTTCCTAAAATTAGTAGAAATAAGATGACCAAAAGCAGGCTTTAAAGGTTAATCTTAGTGGGCATTCTTGTAAATATTTGGACTTTGCTACATTGCCACATAATCTTATCTCTAATAAAAAAGAGCTTTAGCTTGTTATCCCATTAGAGACGGCTTTATCCCATTAGAGACAGCTTTATTAACTCATAACGAGTGGTTGTGCATCACCAATCCAACTCTTCTCCAGCCGAGCTTATTCATCGGCATTTTAGCTATCCTCCTCACACAACAGTTATTGACTGTCAAAGGCTGAGCGTGTATGTTGGCTAAAGATCAGTTCTCGATTTTGTCTTATTTAGTTGTTTCTGGCCTGGGTATTTTCGATTGAATTTTAATTAGTTATCTTGTACAGGAATGTTATCTTGTTTGTTTAATTCCTTAGTTAAAAGTTTGGATTATCAATTAATTGTAAGAAAATCAACCGATACTGGATTTTTAATTTTGGGAAATTACTTTATATTATATTGGGTGTGTTGTATCCACATCAAAGAACAAAACATGCGATTCTGACATAATGACAGAGAAATTCATGGTCACATACTTCAACAATAAACGAACATCACCATTATTAACAGCCTTCAAAGACAAATCATCAACGATTAGGGTACGGGCTTTAGGGTTTCGTCGCAAAGAGAGTTTCAAGCTTCACCAAGGCCCAGACGCAGCTAACAGGGAAGACAAACACCCATTTAAATAAAACATTATATGCCCAATATCGAAAACACCCATTTAAATAAAACATTATTTGCCCAAGTTGACGAGAATACCATGTGAGAAACAACCAGCATTTCTCACCGAGAGAAACGTGGAATTCCCTCACTTTTATTGCAAGATAATTTTTTATTACTTTTTTCTTCCAATCAATAAGCATCTTATCAACCATTGCATGTATGTGTTCTTTAACTCCTTGTTTTCAATTCTACTTAATTTGCCTAAATCAAGTTGGTTTCACAGATTAAATGAGCATTTTCGTTTGTGGTTTGATTGCAAATACATTCACTTGTTTTCTTTTATAATTTTATTTTTATTTGCTTATATCACAAAAGTTTCTTGTTGCAACAGGTTTCCAACCAAATGGACAATCTCCTATCTCTAGCACTGATAAACCCTTAACACCACAAGATCAACCTACGGGTATAAATAATGTACATTATTATTCAACACCAAGGCGGCTAACAACAGAAGAGATACCTTCAGTTGTGAACGAATTTAGACTAGCTGCTAGGAATGCCATAGAAGCTGGTAGGTTTTGCAATTTGAAAAAATAAATAATTATGGTTGCAAACTAGGGCATGATTATCAAAGATACAACAAGGAAAAAAAATAGAATGGCTGTGGTTAAGAGCATGATAATATAATAAAAGCGCGATATTTTACTTAATGCGTCGTCTTGTGACTAAGCCACCTTATGCATTTTTATCTTTCCTATGTAGGCTTTGATGGTGTTGAAATACATGGAGCTCATGGTTATCTCATTGATCAGTTTATGAAAGACCAAGTTAATAACCGAATTGACAATTATGGTGGATCTCTACAGAATCGTTGTAGATTCGCTCTAGAAGTAGTTGAAGCAGTTACAAAAGAGATTGGTGCAGATAGGGTTGGGATTAGAATCTCTCCCTTTGCAAATTATAATGAATCAGGAGACTCAAATCCTGAGGCTTTAGGCCTTCATTTGGCTAATTGCCTCAATAAGTGTGGAATTCTCTTTTGCCATGTGGTTGAACCTAGGATGATTACTGCGTGGGAGAAAGAGGATTGTTCTCAAAGTTTATTACCAATTAGAAAAGCTTTCACTGGTACTTTCATTTCTGCTGGAGGATACGATAGAGAAGACGGAAACAAGGTTGTGATGAAGGGTTCCACTGATCTTGTAGCTTATGGTCGCTTGTTTTTAGCTAATCCAGATTTGCCTAAAAGATTTAAGCTTAATGCACCACTAAATCAGTATAATAGAGATACATTCTATACTTCTGATCCTATTGTTGGCTATACCGATTATCCATTTCTCGAAGACATGATATAACTTAAAAGAGATGTTGAAGTTTGAACTCTTTCAATAATAGTTGGACTATAAGTATTACAGAAAAATAGCAGACTCTGGTTTAATTAATTTTGTACTCCCTCTGTCCTTAAATTACATTCCTACTTTCCTCTATTATGTGAGGAATAAATGCTAGGAATAGAAATGTAATTTAGGGACGGAGGGAGCGCCTTTATAGCATTTGCTTGTGTAAGCAAAAAATAAAAGGTCAAATTAATAGTTTTGACTATGTATTACTACCTCTATTTTTTTTTAGTTGACATGTTTTGACTTTGTGCACTATTCACATAATTTAGTTTGACTTTGTTTTGTGATTTAGTAATAGATAAAAATATTGTCATATGGGGTCTTGTTAGCTTCGTATCAACGTCTAGTTTCTGAATATTAAAATTTTATATTTTTTTCTAATACGTAATCACAGATATTCACATTTGAAAGTATATGTTGGCAAAACGTGTCTAAATGAAATGTGTGAACTAATAAAAAACAGAGAAATTATATGACATTTTGTTTCTCTCTCCTCCTTCCTCTCGACACTTTGTTTCTCTCTCCTTCTTCCTCTCTTCTATACCCTAGCCTCCATTGTCAATTTTTGAAGGGGCTTTATCATTTTAAGTTAATTAGTTGAAAGTCCTTTCTTCTTCTTATTTTTTTTTTAATGTTTATAATAATAATCCTTCTTATGAGAGAAACTTTTCTCCCTCGAAAGAAAAGATTTCGATCTCCTTCGAAAGATAAGAGTTTAAAATATACTTTGTCTTATGAAGGACATCGAAAAACAAAGTTTATCTCTACTTTTTGGAAGGAAGTGAAATTTCTTAGTTTTATATATGTGATTGGAGATCTAATGAAATGTCGTGAAATTATATTGTTAGTGAACAATTATGCAAGATCAAGTTTTGAATATAATATAATTAGATGATTAAAAGGAAAACATACATCCTCACAGCTAGGGGTGAGCAAAAATTCCGGGTACCCGGAATTGGAACCGGAACCGGTTAGGAATCGGCAGGTCTGGAATCGGAAATGGACCCGTTGGTTCCAATTCCGGGTAATAAATTAAGGACCTGGTTATAACCAATTCCAATTCCAATTCTCAACTTTTTGGAACCGGAACCGGTTGGGTACCCGGTTACCAAATATATGTTAAACTAAATAAATTTTAAATAATAAAAATATGTTGAATGTATCTAATTTGTAAATTTAAAAAGTATTATTAATACCTAACATAAATACAAATAGCTTAATGCATATATAAATATAAGTATTAAACGCAAAAAATAAACCTAACTAAAATAAGAATTATAATTTGTATTATATTTTAACAATTACATATATAAGTGGGTACTCAGAACAGGAATCGGTACCCGGTGGTTCCAATACCAATTCCTAAATTTTAGGACTCGGTTGAACCAATTCCAATTCCGGATCCGAATTTTAGGGGTTCCAACCAATTCCATGTCCGGGTCCTAAAATTTTTACCGGGTACCCGGTTTGCTCACCCCTACTCATAGCTATAAAGGATCATCAGATTGTCCCTCCAACACAGATTTTTCCCAGCGATAAGATTTACTCGATGATTGTAGTTTTTATGAAGGAGATTTTTGTTTGATTCAATATTTTATGTATTTGCTATTAAAATTGAATCTCTTTGTAGATGTCGTATGATTTTATATTAATGAATTAATTTTACTATTAATAAAATATGGCAGTTTGTTTAGTTGCTTGAATAAAATTGTTTGGTTTTGAAGATATTTACAAATTTATTTTGCGGCTAGGTTGTAAGTACTTGTTGTTGTAAGCGAGCCTATATATTAACACAACATTTGGATCTAAAAAAAATTGAAGGAAAAGAAGGATGGGAAGTACGGATGGCATGTGGGTATTAAAATGCGGGTTTTGCACCGCACCCATCCCAGGGTGTGGGTCGAATTTTGGCGGGTAAGTAGGTGGGTATGGGTACAAAAGTCATATACCCACCGTGGGTAGCGGGTACGTAGCTTAGGTGGTGGATTTGATGTCATATTCACCTATTACCCGTCTACCCGCCCAGTGACCCTGCTACCCACCTAGTTACCCACATACTTGCTCAGTTACTCACCTACCCGCCCAGTTATCCGCCAACTTATTACTATTTTTAATTTTTTTAACACAAATTGATGGGAAATTCCCTGTTTCTCATATTAAGAAACGAAATTTGTTTCTCATGGGGCAATTTTTGTGAATAAATCAACAAATTATTCTTTATTGTGGACTCCACAATTGAATGAAGTTGAATAAAGTTGTTGGTCATTTACAAAAATATCATGTGAGAAACAAATTTTGTTTCTCACTATGAAAAATTGAGGCATCCCCAAAATTGATTACTACCTTGTATAATATGCTACTAAATTATATATTCACAACAATTTATATTTGGCAAATGACATATTTATAGAAAATTTATAAAACAAATGTTGTTAGGTTGGCAGGTAAAAGCGGGTGGTGGATTTAGGTTTCTACCTGCTTAAGCGGGCTGGGTGTTAAAATTTTACCCGTCACAGGTAGCGGTTAGGTGGTGGGTATAAAAATTTTGGCGGGTGCGGGAATGGGGGAGGGGGTATGTAACACTCCCAAATCTCCCTCTGAGGAAATACCAGTATAATATGGGGGAGGGACTCCAATGCATCTATTATTGACTCACCTGAAAATAAGCAATACTACTTACAGACCATTACGGTAAATAGGGCGAACCAAAACAAATAAGAAGTAAGGATTAGCAAATATGCTAAGTACGACAAATGCAAGATAATTAAAATCAATTTATTTGCAAACATGCTTTTGAAATCAATTCCAATAATTAATCCAATAATTCCAAACTCATGATTCAAAACCGATTCTCAATATTCCAATATCAATAATCAATAAAACCAATACCAATTATTTTAAAACCAATTTCTCATATTAAAACCAATTCCTCTCCCAAGTGTGCACACCCCCCAAGCTAGTCTCCTTATGTTACAAGGTTATTCTTGAGGAAAGACCCGGTCATACAAAGTCCAAGGCCTTATCAATAAACCAAATCCGCATAGTGGGATTACCACATGCTTATAAGGCATAAATAATAAATAATAAATTTAATTCAATGATACAATAAATCCTCTTTTAAATCCAATAATTCCAAATAATTCAAACTCTCTTATTAGATTCAACATGCTTTCAATATCAAACCTTTTTAAAACATGAATAATAATTTTAATCATTCAAAACATGATATAAAATCAATGCCTCATTTAATTATTAAAACCAATCATTTAAACATATTTTTATTTCATAAATCATAATTCAATTCAATTTAATTCAAACATCACAAAAGCATTCAAACATGCTTATTCAACCAATCACTTTCAAGGTATCTAGCCACCTAACGTACCTTGATCCTCGCTTAGCCAAAAACACTTCAAAAGAACCCTCAAGTAGCTTGATCAAAAACACCCTAGAAATAAATATAACCTTAATTAATATAAGGTTAACAAATAATTAAAACCCCAATTATATGTACATGGACCTTTTAAATTAATTTCTCATAAACATTATTAAAAATTTGATTTTATGTAATTAAAACTACTCATAATAATAATAATAATAATAATAATAATAATAATAATAATAATAATAATAATAATAATAATAATAATAATAATTGAATAAGAGAAGATAATAAGAAAATATAAGAAACCAAGGAAATGAGAAGAATTGGATTTGCGTTGGAAAGAATAGGCAGAACTTGCAGAGGCTATAACTCCTTCTATATAAATCAGTATTGGGTGATTCTTGAGCCTAACCTCAAGGATTTTTTTAGAGGAACGATCATCTGTGAAACGTCAATACCCCAAAAACTGACCAGAAGTGCCTGAAAATTGGATTCAAAGATAAACGGGATGATTTGTGTAAAAAGAGGAGAAGAAAAGTAGAGAATTGGTGTGAAGAATGTGAGAGGTCTGGAGGGGTATTTATAGGCTAGCTCATGCAAAAATTATGGCAAGAGAATTTGGGAATAATTATAGTAAGTTGGGTTTAAGAAATTACTTGGAGAAGTGAGTAAAAGAATTAATGAAAGTTTGGACATTAAGGTGATTGTATATACTTGAATATGGAAGGTATGTGTAGACACCCATTTGTCTCTCCCCAAAAACAAACCCAGTGATGAGTACCTTTCGCATCGAATCATAATCGAATGGGGTGAAAGTGTGAAAAGTTTAGTGTTGCGGATAGTTTTAATTTCTTTTCTCTTCTCTCTGTTTTTGAAAACTTATTTTAAGAAAACAGCCAATCCACTTTGGTTGGTCCGTGATATGGGTCCAATAGTAGTGTAGTTGGATGGGGCTTGAAAAGAGCTTTCCAACGATATATTATAAGCCCAATTCCGATGAATATTGAGGATGTTATGGCCAATTTACTAAACTGAGCCCGGTTTGAGCCTTATATGCGGCCCAATGATCTAGAGGAGGGCTTAATATAGATTTATCATTCCTAATGCAATTAGGAATGGTTTTAGTCTTCTAGATTTTTCTAGAAGGTTCTTTTCATTCCTAATTCAATTAGCATTGATAAATTGACTTTTGTTGACTTTTTAGAGTTTTAATTAGAATCAAAGAACATTTTTTTGAGGAAAATACGATTTTATCCTCCTGTACGGCAAATTTTATCTGATTTTAAGAAAACGCGTGGATTTATGAGTCAGCGCCAAACGCCAGCTGTAGCGCCTGACGCTACCATTGGCGCCTGGCGCCAACCTTAGCGTCTGGCGCTAGGTCAGCGTCTGGCGCCAACTCGGTTTTTTGCGTCAGAACTCTGTTTTGATATTTTATCTTTTTGACTGATTTTCTTTATAAATAATCTCGTAAAAACTCCGTTTTGATCATCAATTCTTATTCTTTCTAATTCTCACCAACTCTCATCAAGATTTTCTTGATTACTCTCTCTCTATTTTCTAAACTAGCTTTCTCTCAAATACAAAATTCCGCATTCATTAGATTTAGAAACACCTAGCCATATTCGAAGTTGCCTTCGCCCTAGACGTGAAATGTTTAATTTCTGAGGGTTTGGTCCCAAATCTCTCTTTCAATTATTTAATTTAATTATTTTGTTTATTATTTTCCTTGAAGTTACTAACGCGTGTATTTTGTTATTAGAAAGAGGTACGATGCATCAAAGTAAGTGCTTTAATTGCTTTATTGACATTATTATGTAGGAATCATGTCTAGGTTGTTATTATGATTCCTAGTATCATGTTAGGATGCTTGATGTTTTGAATGACAACAATAATTCCTAGCATTATGTTTAGGGGAAAGGTTATAATATCAAATATGCTTATTATGATTTCTATTATGCTTCCTATATTCTTTCCTAATATGCATGTTAGTATCATGTTAGGGTTAAAGCTTTGATCTTTGATGTTTAGCGACATGTTAGGGTTTGTTATTAATATTATGCTTTAACATGAATATTATGGTTATAATTGGTATTATTAATTCATGATTATTCAAATTATTATTATGATGATTATTAATTATTATTTTTATTATTATTATGTTGCTTGATATATTTATTTTTATTGCTTGATCACGCCTTTTATGCATGTTTAAAGGGAATTTGTACTTGTAATCACGCTTAATAAGATAATTAATAATCTTGTTTAGGGTTAATTTGATTATAATTCAAGTGATCGCCAATAATAGTTTATTTGTGCATTAATATTCAACCAACATAGATAAACAGGTTTAGGGT